ATGAAAATGTCATCAGCACCTCCAGCTGACAAAAGTTTTTCCACATCCCTGAATTTCAGTAAGCTTTCTACAGTTCAGCACAGTCATCTTCAAAGTAGGTACCCTTACTCCTCTGGGGCTGAGTAAGGCTTTCCAAAGGAGCATGTGGACAAGAATATTTTGAAGGAAAGCAACATACAGATCTTGAATTCAGTATCCGCTCTTTATTAAATATCCCTGCCCCCCTTTTGCAATGGCCCTCCCCTCACTTTACAAAAGAAAGGTGCCCCTCTCACTCTTCCCAATCTTTCTAGGGTTCATTGCTCTGGAGTTTAACACAGCCCACCCCCTGCCCTGGCACCAAATAAAGGAAAAAATGAAAATGTTGGTGTTAGAGTAAGTGTGGGGGAGGTGAATGGCTCTAGGAACTGTGTACCAGTTTGTTAGCATTGCTGTAACTACCACAAACCGGTGGCATGAACCGCAGAAATGTATTGTCTCGCAGTTCTGGACACTAGAAGTCCAAAATCTAGGTGTGGGCAGGGTTCCTTCCTTCTGAGGGTTGTGAGGGAAGGTTCTGTTCCAGGTCTCTCTACTTGGCTGGTGGATGGCCGGCTTCTCCCAGTGCCTTTATATCCTCCTGCCTCTGTGAGTGTCTGTCTCTCTGTCCAAATTTCCCCTTTTTATAAGGACACCAGTCATAGTGGATTAGGGTCCACTCTAATGACCTCTTCTTAACTAATTATATCTGCAACAACATTATTTCCAAACACGACCACATTTGGAGGTACCAGTGGTTAGGATTTCATATGAACTTTGGTGGGCACACAACTCGACCCATAAGAGACTGGATAACAAATCCCTTGCATGTCAGTCAGTTTTGCTTTCAAAACTGAGGGAAAAAATGGTGAAGTCGTCAGGTCATTAGAACTATCATTTGATAATGGATTACCATGTGATTGGGGGCAGATAAGTCAGGAGTTTCAAAAATTGAAGGACACTTTTATAACAAAACTCCATTCCCATGTCTTTATTTTTAAGAACATGGGCTTCCCTGGTGGCTCAGTGGTTGAGAGTCCACCTGCCGATGCAGGGGACACGGGTTCGTGCCCCGGTCCGGGAAGATCCCACATGCCGCGGAGCGGCTGGGCCCGTGAGTCATGGCCGCTGAGCCTGCGCGTCCGGAACCTGTGCTCCTCAACGGGACAGGCCACAGCAGTGAGAGGCCCGCGTACTGCAAAAAAAAAAAAAAAAAAAAAACAAGGATTCTTCATCTCTAAAAAATGAAAAATAGAATGGTTGCTAAACACTTTGTTATTCTAACAATAAGTAAAATTTATCCATACTACATAGAATGTTTGAAAAAAGGACAGCATCACCTATCTTATTAAGAAGTGCAAACTTCCAGTAAAACTCTACTTTTCATGTTAGCATTTATCAGAATGTTCTATTCATTTAGGTTGTTTTGATCAATTGTGTAATACTAGTAATTGTAATGATAACTCAATCCAGAAATCACGTAGACCCTATGGTTACAGGAATTTTAAAGTGCATAAATTTTAACTTTTATACAAATGTTTGATAGATAAAAGTATGATAGGATACTCAGTAAAAGATGTTCAATCATAAACATATTAGCATAAAATTTTGAAGGGGAAGTAGAATGGAAATAAAATTTCAAACATAGAAGGCATGGCAGAAGTGGAGGCAAGGCAGGGAGTTATATTTAATTTTTGCTTGCTAAAGACGAGCTTACTTGTGTATTTCTTAAATGGATGATGGTGGATAACAAACTATTACAGGATTTAGATTCCATTTGGATACATTTAAAACAATGATGTAACCATTTTATTCTAAAATGTCAATATTTATGGTATGCTACAAATTATATTCTTTGCACCTGTTTAAATTTATGATAAAATTATAAATATCAATTTTTAAATATGTAAAGAAGAGCATAGTTTTCTAAACTATTTTAGGGTCCTTGAGCAAAACCTTTAAAGATTAACTCTTATACAGTGCCAAATTTTGTATCGTTCTTTAGGTGTCTTAGGGGATATTCAGAATGTGGTCTGCTGTAGCTCACTGTTAATCCAGGGAAATTAACTGAGTTTGAGTCTTAACCTAGTGTTGCCACCATTTCCACCCACAGATGGAATGGTGGGATTGGATGCATGCTGACAATCTTGGATTCCTTTCTGAGAGACAGCATGATGGCATGCAAAGTGCATGGTCTTCAACCACAATGAGATACCACTTTACACCCATTAGGATGGCTATTATCAGAGAGAAAGAAAGAGAGGGAGGGAGGGAGGGAGGAAAAGGAAAGGGAAAGAAAGGAAAGAAAAAAACGAAAGGAAAGTGTTGACGAGGATGTGGAGAAATTAGAAGTCTTGCGCAGTGCTGTTGGGAGTGTAAAATGGTGCAATCGCTGTGGAAAACAGTATGGCAATTCCTCAGAAAATTAAAAATAGGACTACCGTATGATCTAGCAATTCCACCTCTGGGTATATACCCAAAAGATTTGAAAGCAGGGATTCAAACAGATATTTGTATACAAATGTTCCTAGCATTCTTCACAATAGCCAGGAAGTGGAAGCAACACATATGCCTATCAACAGAAGAACAGATAGACAAAATGTAGTAGATACATAGAAAGGAGTGCTTTCAGACCGAAAGAAAAATAAGGAAATTCTGACACATTACAACATGGATGAACTTTGAAGTCATTATGCTATGTAAAATAAGCCAGCCACAAAATGACAAATACTGTGTGATTCCACTTATATGAAGTACTTAGAACAGTCAAATTCACAGAGACAGAAAGTATAAGGATGGTTTCCAGGGGCTGGAGAGTGAGAAAAATGGGGAGTAATTGTTTAATATTAGTATTTTTATAGTATGTTATTGTTTAATGGGTACAGAGGTTCAGTTTTGCAAGATGGAAAGAGTTCTAGAGTTGGATGGTGGTGATGGTTATGTAATATTAATGTACTTAATGCCACTGAACTGTACACTTAAAAATGGCTGAAATGATCAGTTTTATGTCATGTATATTTTACCACATTTTTTAAAATTATGTTCTTTAGACTCAGAGTTCAAATCCAGCATCTTCTAGGTGTGTGACCTTGAACAAGTTTCTTAAACTCCCTGAGTCTCAGAAAGGATATAAAAATGCCTAAGTTGGAGGATTGTTACGAGAATTAAAACATAAACAGATCTGTAGTGACCCTGAGGTGTGCCACCGAGATCCCCTCTTCAGGACTGAGGTGTCATTGCCCCAGATGCTGGGGTGGTGACTGCTGTGGCCCACAGATGCAAACGTCTTCAAGCATCACCCCCAAAGGGAGCTGCCTCACCCAAAGTTTGTAACCCTTCTCGGGAGACAGCAACTGATGCCCGCTTACAAGGTCTAGCCCTTCACCTCAATCTGGGAACACTCTGGAGGGTCATCCCAACCCCACAGCTTCCAGCAGGATCCAGTGAGGTTTCTGCTGAGTGAACACACGTTCTGCCTCTACCCAGTCCTGCTTCTGTCACCTTCTTACAGTCGTGGGACAGTAAGTCTCCTGCCTGCAGAGCTCCATCTCAGAGTCTGTTTCCAGGTAGCACTCCTCTGCCCAAAATTTCCTGAGAGCTTCCCATGTCCTCAGAATGAAACCTGAAATATGTATCATTTGCCTGTCTCTCCTGCTGCTTCTCCCTCAGCCCATCCCAGCCACGCTGGGCCTCAAGTGTACATGCCACGCTCATCTCTCCCAGGCGCCTGTACACTTGCTGTCTCTCTGCCTGGGACACCTGTCCTCCTGGCTGGCATAGCTCAGTCCACCCCTCCAGGTGATATCCTCAGAGAGGCCTGCCCTACAATATCCCCTGCATACACCTGAATCCCTCTCTGTTCCTTACCCTGATTTGCTGTTCTTCATAGCATTTACCGTAATGTGAAATGATATTATATACTCACTTGCTTATAAGCACTAGAAAGTAGGTTCCCCAAAGGCAGAGCCCTCCTCCTCCTTCAGGCCTGAGGTGTTCCCAGCAACCAGAATGCCTGGCACATAACAGGCACTTTGTGGAAAGCATTCATGGATTAGAGATAATGCACACTGAACGTATCACTCGGCATAGCGCAAGTCAGGGGCTCAATAGATGGTGCCTATTATTTTATTATATTTCTTGTCTGTCCAACTCAGACAGTGAATGTCAGATAGGGTCCTTCTTTTGTATACCTTTTTATAGTGCTAGGCACAAAAATCACTCAATAAATAAATTCTTTTTAACGGGACTTGACTTGTTCTAAAGCCAATAGTGAGGGGAAACTGAGATGATTTTTGTCCAAGCTGGCTGGCTGGCTGGCTCTACTTCATTTGAATGGCCAGGATTCTAGCATGTCATGTCAGGTCTTTATTAAAATTAATTATAATCAGACTCCATCGGTCTCTTCCAAGGGAGAGAAGAAAGCAGCTTCCCACAAAAGTCGTCCTGGCCACTCTCGGAGGCAGAGGGTTACTATGAGGCCCTATGTGACATCTCTTCACTCTAATCACCAAATGTCGTAAATATCCAATAATCTTCTAGAAACTACCAAAAAACGAGGTAATAGATATGATCTCTGCCCCCAAATCACTTAAAATCTAAACTTGTCAGAGCAGAAGAGAGAGGCCCTGTTATTTTTCCCAGGTTCCCTATCCAGTCTCAGCAATGTCCCCTCCCCCCTGCTCTCCGCTTACCTCAAGGTCTGACAGGAACGTACTGCCTGGCATTCCTACCTGTTTGACATCCCATGTTCTCGGCCGCATAATGAGAGTGCATTTTATGGATTATATGACACACAGTGTCTCCTGCTTTACCATATTCAGGGAGCAGCAAATACATATGTACAGTTTAAGTGCCCTGTTTCCTTACTATACAGTTATCATATATCTCTGTACAGTGAAACCAGCCTTCAGAATGCTGTGTAGAAGGTGGTGATAATTCTTGGCTCTTCTCCTTTTTGCAGATGCAAAAAAATCTAAGAAAGGGAAGCCATTCCTCACCACCAGGAGTGCATGTAAAGGAGGGCTGCCTGCCAGCCACGGTATTCGGGAAATTCAATTCACTTGTAATTGAATCCCCAGCGCAACACTCCAAGGTAGGTGGTGTTATCCTCCATTTACAGATGAAGAAAGAGGCTAGACAGATTAAGTAATGTATATTAGGTCACCCAGATGTTAAGTAATAAACCAGGATTTGAACTAAGCTTTCTCTGATTCCAAAGTCTCTTCTAAGACTATGCTATGCACCCTTGGGCTGTTTACTTACTTCTTTGGGCCCAAGCTTGGTTATCCTCCTTAATAGCTCCCACTCTACCCTGGATACTATTTTTAAAAAACTATAAAAAGTTGCCCAACCGAATTAAAAATATTACAAAGCTACAACAATTATAAAGTTAAAACAGAATAGTAAGCAGAGAAACAGTAGAGTTCAGAAATAAACTTAGGTATATGATAAAGGAAACATTTCAAGTCATTTCAAATGGAAGAAAAATGGATTATTCTACAAATGGTATTGGGAAACCTGGTTAGCAAAACAATTAGTAGGTGCCCGATAAGTGACTGTAATTTGTACATGGTGCAACTATGATATAACATGTTGTCCAGCTCCCGCATGACTGCTGAGACAAGAGATTAGGGATAACTTTTTGAGTTCTGGACTTTTTAAGTCTCTGGTCTATACAGTACTCTGATCTTCTGAATGCCTCACACAATCTCCCACGACACTTTCAATTTACAGAGTGTTTTCACTACCCTATTAGTGCAGGGCAGGTGCTATTATTCCCACTTTCTATATAAAAGCACTGAGGCTCGGAGAGGTTAAGTTCACAGCTGGCATGGCATGTGAAACTTAAACACCCGCTTACTGATTCTTTGTGTTACTGTCTTACTATCAGACTCAATACACAAGCTCTCCATCACATTCACACCCACACAATTTAAACAATGAAAAACAATGTCACTATATTAATGCAATAACTATGTTAATTTCTCTGGATTCCTGATCAGTCTTTGTCCATAATACACATATTTAACATAAGTGCAATCATAGTTTAATTACAAGTTAGTGGCCCATTTTTCCACTTCACATTGTATCCTAATTCGCCAATACTGTTCACAGTTTTGCAGCAAATGACTGTGTACATCTTGACTGTCTCTTACACGCTCCTCTTCTTTAAACCCATCTGTGTAAATCTCCATTTCTTTTTTTAAATTTATTTATTTTTATTTATTTTTGTCTTCGTTGGGTCTTTGTTGCTGCGCGACAGCTTTCTCTAGTTGTGGTGAGCAGGGGCTACTGTTCGTTGAGGTGCGCAGGCTTCTCATTGCTGTGACTTCTCTTGTTGCGGAGCACGGGCTCTAGGCGCACAGGCTCAGTAGTTGTGGTTCCCGGGCTCTAGCGCGCAGGCTCAGTAGTTGTGGCGCACGGGCTTAGGCGCTCCGCAGCATGTGGGATCTTCCCGGACCAGGGCTTGAACCTGAGTCCCCTGCATTGGCAGGCGGATTCTTAACCACTGCGCCACCAGGGAAGCCCTAAATCTCCATTTCTAACCCAATTGCTCTTAAATGAATTTCTTTCACAGGAGTGAATGCATGCAGTTGTGTTCGTCAAACAGGCAGCCATTTATCTCCCTTCCCTCAAGGAGAAGTCCTGTGTCTTTTCCCAGTCCATGGGTAACTCTATATGTACAGTGTGTTTGGTTTCCTCTGCTTTCAGAGTTTCTCTCCAGGAACTCTTCTTCTGAAGATTCTTGCCTGGGTGTAAGCAGCGGAAGGGGATGTCAGTTGCCTTCTCGGATTAAGGATTCCCTCCCCACTCCTTTTTTAACCTGTGGCTTCCCAATTTAGCTTCCTCAGGACAGTCATCACTAAAACCATGATTCACCCCCATGGTTTCCTCCCTGGCCAGGGAGAAATTTCAAACTGAACATTTTCATCACCATTATGTATACAGTGTGATTCATGGAGAACAGACTCTGCTTAGAGAATTAAATAAGTCATTGTTTTCAATCATCCACAGTGGTTGTTTAAAGAGAGATACATCTTCCATACTTACTGTTCTATTCTCCCTATTTCAGGAGATGAAAGTGACCTCATGGAAACACACCCTGACCTGACTGGTCTCTGTTTGAAAACAAGTATATAAAGAGAGACATGGAAAAAGAAATATATTTTTTGGTCAGTGCCTGTCCTAAATATTCCATAAGGTCAAGTTCAGTCTACTTAAAATAAGGAGTTATGAGGTCTTAACAAGGCACTACTCAAATAGGCTGTCAACAAACACCTATGGAATGTCTGTGCATGAGTCTGTTAGATCTCAGAAGGACATACACAGTCTCTGCCCTCAAGAGGTTGATTCTCTACACCCAGTTGTCTGGCAGACACACACACTGACAAAATCTGCCAAAAAAGGGTGATAATAAGAGGGTTGTAATATTTCTGATAATAAGAGGGTTGTAATATTTCTGCAAAAGGTTGATTTAGATCAGGGTTATAACTATGAAGTGCTTTTACTTAATTAAAATGTAGATTATTAAGCTACAGAATAATAACCATAATAATAACTGGGAAAGATGCTATTATGATTTGGTTTTGCTTTCAGACAGCTAATTGCAAAACATTTGTGCAAGAGGAAGAGTAAGATTTTTTTTTTTCCCTGAGAACGTATGCTATCTATCAACAAAGGCAACTATTTTCTGTTTCACCATTAAGGAGTCTTTCCTGGGGAAAGAAGCTCTAATTGCGTTCTGGGAGCAAAGAAAGAAAATTTATGATTTAGTACATCCCAGATTGATTGTAACTTTTCATGACTCAGCAAAGATGGGTTAGGAATGTCCAAACATATTTGAATGTTACGCCTTTGTGAGGCATGGGCATTGCCAGTAGTTGAAGGTTATGGTAGCTGTGATTCAACAGGGGAACAGCAACCTCTATCTGAGAAAAATATAATACTATAGTAACAAGCCAAATTGCTGGCATTGTCAGTAGCTGTGATTTCACTTTATTGATTGTCTCCTGTGAAACATGAGGCTCTTTATTTGAATCATTTGTATAGGTGTCATATCAGGTTAATTGCAAAGCAATTGGATTTAATAATAATATAACTGTGTATCCATGTCCATCGATTCCTAGAATCGTGAGATGTGAATTGCACTTGACTGTGAGGTCGTGCGATCCTATGCGATGGGATGAGCCAGTCCCAGGCTGATCATGTAAATTTAAGCTGCCCAGAGTGAGCTTTAACTTATATGCCTGTTTGGATTGTTACTGAAATATTTTATAGGTCTGGAACATGATTGGTTATAAATTGGATGCCCTTGAATTGTTTTAAAAAGCATAGCTTTATGTTGAGTTAACAGCATGACGTTAAGATTGGTACCAGTGTAAATACAGAGGATGAAGGCTTTCTGTTGGCCACGCTTTCTTGCAAATTTGCACAGTTGCTTAAATTATTTCACTCTTAGTTGGGCTGCTTTGTCTTTGTTAGTCCATTGAGTAAGGAATGTAAGGTGGTTCTCAACATGGACAGAAGTTCCCTGAAAAGCAAGGACACATACCAGATAAATATATCAATGACCAAGTCCATCATTCCATAACAGCTAAAGAAACAACATCATTATATATTTGCATAATTTATATTTATGTTTAAAATTCGTGGATATTTTCCACTTTTTCAGTCAAAGGACATTCGTTTCCAAGAGGGTTGGAACGGGAAAAAACAAGTTTTGTGGGAAAATATCACATCCATATGGTGAAGAAAAACTAAAGAAAACATTCAAGACAAATCTAAGGAAAATTTAAGAGGTCTCAGAGACAGAAGGAAAAGAAGGAAGAGAAGAAAGAGGAGAATGAGGAAAGGAAGAGTTATAAAACGAGAAGATGGAGTAGCACAGTAAATACGGGCTGGCACGATAACAGCACTCAATAAAGGCTTTTGAATCAGTGACTCATTTAACCAAATTTTTAAAAAGTTGTGAAGAAAGTTAGTAATGAATCAAAATATATTGCCTAGATTGCTGTCTTTGATGAATCTAAAAAGGAGCAATGGACATTTTTGTTTAGGCCAAACGTTGCTACGTGAATTTATACTAAAATATTGTCTTTACCAGTTATATTTATATCGTCTATCATTTTAACTAGCACAATTGCCATAACATTTTCTCCATATCATTTGGCTTCACGGTCATTTTGGAGAGATCACTGGGAGAATCACTGACTTCTACAATTCATCCAAACCCAGAATGTAAAATCATTCCCCTAAACCTAAATGCTTCTCATCTCCCTCTGCTTTGGTTAAGCTGACTTTCTCACCAACTTAAAGACAATTTTTTTTTGGGGGGGGTTACCAAATCCAAAATAAAACTAAATACACTTAATAAGCATATTTATCTAGTAAGATATAAGCTATGTTTATTAGTGCCCCACAGGTTGATCTTTCTATGAGCACAAACCCTACAAGGTGGTTTTTAACCATTTTTTAGAAACATGTTTGAATGTGTTAATGGCTGAGATGCAGGCCCTGTCTAAATGCTAATGAATTATGTGACCATGTGTTCAGAGCTGCTCTGGCCCACAGTTGACAGCTGAGTCAACTGAAGGGAGCAGCAGTGACAGGAGACAAGAAAAGAAGCTACTTTTATCTTTTACAGATCTTTATTTGGTATGAATATAGTGATAATATTTCAGACTTAGGAGGACTATAGGAACCTGGACAATTTTAAAGGGAGGTGTAAGTGAGATTACACTATCAAGAAGAAAACTTCATATTTATGAATAAAGTTAAGTGCATAGTGTTTTCTAGTGTAATGAGGATAACAGGAATCAGTATCCTTCTGTTATGCCCCACAGTTCCATCTCTTTGGCCCTGTGATTTCACCATGTAGTCGCCAGACACTGGATTTTCTTAATTAAAGCGAGACTCTTTGTTAAGTGAAAACAGTAAAATGAAGAGATTCAAGTAAGAATCAACAAAAGAAAAATGACACTAAAACGATGAACCTTGCCTTACTATTCATATTTTTATGTAGCTCCTCATAAACACTCCTATTGTATAAAAAGTACAGCAATTTTCAACGATTAGGATGAATTTTGGACCCAAGACCGAAGAAAAGTTAAAAACGATAAAATGTTCTTCTCATTGTAAGGAGATGCTTCCTCTGAATGGATTCGTGTTTTTATATTTCATGTATTTCATAGGCACCTTTCTCTTTGTTCATAAACATTTTATTCATAGCCTGGAAAGACAAAAAACAAAAAGCAACAAAACCCTGACAATCCAATTTGCTTTTAGTTTACCTACTCTTGAGTCCCACCCTCCATTTTTCTACCTTATTTCTAGTGCCTTGTCATTATAATAGTGAAGGAAAACAAAAAGCCTACAGTGTTTGAGCAAAACCTCACCAAACTGCTTTGCCCTCCAAAACCTGTGTCCTGTGCCCCAGGGGCAGACACCAGCTGGAAAATGGGGCTGGGGAGGTGGCGCCGGGGAGAGGAGAATGGCAAAATGTGACCTGGCAGCACAGTGCTGGGAAATGGTGCTCAGGGCCTCTCTTAGGCTAGAGTTTCTATCTTATAAAAGATTTGAAATTTTTATACTGTCACAGAACAAATAAAACCAAAACTATTGTTTCACAATCTATGCAGCCAATTGCACGTACTGATTGCATGTTTCTTGTTTTATCACATTTCCAACAGTTGCAAATGTTTCTTCCCCTGGGACTGTCAGGATGTCATATTGGTTTACTAGGCGGGTGGGGGATAGGGGAGGACCTTAGAGCATGGAGAGATAGCTGTCAATTGGATGATGGAAGATGACACATACTTGCTGTTCCACCCACCCCCATTCCGTGCTCTGATCAGGCACTGATTCACTTGACTCATCGCTTAGGCATCCCCTATTTCATTTCCATGCACTTGTTCATGCCCACACTGACCATATTTCAAACCCCAAAGTGGGGCACCAGCTCTAGCAATTATGACCATACTTGCAGGACCATGGTCAGGTTTGAAATAAAAACTGTCTCAGAAGATCTAGACCATGAGACGGTCATATCCACTGCATTTCTTCCAGTTCATCCATCTATAAAAATCTACCCCATTTATTAGGGACTCATTTAAGTGCTCCTCATTCAAAAAAACTTTTTTTTTTAACTATTCTAATGTAATGTGACTCCTTCTGAATTAATAGTTTGTAAAATGTTGCCTTATATTTATTACAATGCTGATTTACATCTATAGAATATATTATAACATTATAACCTCATCCATACTTTTTTAAAACATGTAATATAAGCCATGCATCTGTTATTCTGATAAAAATGTAAAAGAGGGGAGTTTTTTTTTTAAAGTATGCTACATGTGGGCTTCCCTGGTGGCACAGTGGTTAAGAATCCACCTGCCAATGCAGGGTACACGGGCTCGAGCCCTGGTCCGGGAAGATTTCACACACCACGGAGCAACTAAGCCCATGCACCACAACTACTGAGCCTGTGCTCTAGAGCCCACAAGCCACAACTACTGAGCCCGTGTGCCACAACTACTGAAGACCACGTACCTAGAGCCTGTGCTCCGCAGCAAGAGAAGTTACCACAATGAGAAGCCCGCACACTGCAAGGAAGAGTAGCCCCTGCTCACCACAACTAGAGAAAGCTCTCGCACAGCAACAAAGACCCAACGCAGCCAAAAATAAATAAATAATTTTTAAAAATAAAGTATGCTACATGTATGTTATATATATAATATCATTAGAAAAGGCAATTAACACATAGCTTTCATGTTATGTATAAATGTTAACCATTTTTTAAGCACTATTCAAGCATGGCATGCTATATAGTGTTGGAATTTTTTGTTTTCTAAGGCTGTTCCTGTTTATAAACTACTTTGCCTACTCCCTTGGCCCTCCAAAAGAAACACATTTATAATCAATTTATTTAAGCAATTATAGATGAAGGCATAGATTGGGGAGGACCTACCTAAAGATCCTCTGTGACAATCTTAGAAATCTCAAGCCAAGATAGGAACATTAGTACTACACCTATTGCCTGTGCCACTCTAGAGGCACAGTTATATTAGCTTATAATTGATGCCTTGTATTTTATTTTCTTGCCTCCTTGTTTACTAACTCTATGTTTTCTAATAGAACTATGCAACTTTGGAGTTTGGGGATCAAATATCTGCCTGTCTTCCATTACCGCTGCTATCTAGATTGTCTGTTGACATTTTCTACATCTGGTCATCTGGTGTTTACTTGAACGAATACAATGAACATACCATTTCTAATACTGATACTCACTTTATCAGAAAGGTTATTCTTACAGTGAACTGAAATCTGATTCGTTGCCTCTCACTTCCTTTTTTTATTGAAGTATAGTTGATTTACAATGTTGTGTTAGTTTCAGATGTACAGCAAAGTGATTCAGAGTCTTTTCCATTATAAGTTATTATAAAATATTGACTATAGCTCCCTATGCTATATAGTGGGTCCTTGTTGTTTATCTCTTTTATATATAGTAGTGTGTATATGTTAATCCCAAACTCCTAATTTATCTCTCCCCCAAACCTGCCCCACTATCCCCTTTGGTAACCATAAGTTTGTTTTCTATGTCTGTGACTCTATATCTGTTTTGTAAATGTGTCTCTTTTGGAGAAGGTTCAAATAATGAAAGAATAATGTGGTTAAAGTACAGGCAATGAGGGGTAGGGAAGTAAGAGGTAAAGTTGGAGAGTTCAAACACCACCAGAAGCCTTGGAGGCCTGATAAGTTTTCTCCTCAAAATAATAGGAAGTCACTGAAGAGTGTGGTAAATTGCATTCTTGATCACCAAATATTCTGGCTTCACTTCCTCCAGTGTTTCTCCCTGTGAGAAGATCATGCATCCCTCCATACTGAACTCAGAAGAGACTCTGTGACCTGCTTTGGCCAATGAAGTAGGGGCAGCAATGACATGCGTCCCTTCCAGGCAGAAGCTTTAAGAGCCAGCATGCAGATCACACTTTCTCTTTGGTCATGGTCATTGCTACCATGGCCGGCAATGTTCCACATAGAGGCTGCTCCATCATCTTGAATCCCAAAGTGGAATTTCCATGGAGCAAAGCCACAGACATGCTATGAATGAGCAGTAAGCTGCTGTTGTTGAAAACTAAAGAGATTTCTGGGGTTGTTTGTTACTACAGGTATTACCTAACTTATTCTGACACATACAAAGGATTTGATGAGTCCTGAAGGAACATGACCAAATTTGTGTTTGGAAAAGATGAGCAACTACTATTCAGAAAGTAGATTACTGAAAAGAAACCAAAGTAGGTTCTGGAAAACAAATTAGGCAGTTATTACATTAATCCAAGTAATTGCACAATGGTGAACACAGAGATACAAAGATGTAGATATAGCCAAAAGCTATTTAGGAGGTAAAATTTTCAGGGTTTTGGGATAGATTTGGATCCTTGGTGGAAGAGGGGAATGGAGAAATGGGGGTTTTAGGGAGGATGCCTAAGTTTCTGGCTATAGGCTTCAGATGAACACTGGTGACTTAAGATGAAATGGGTAAAACTAAAAGAGGACAATACTTGAGAGAAAAGATCACGAAGTTTAGAACATGCTGAATCTGAAGCGCCTTTGAGACAGCCAAAGATGTTGAGTGGGCAGTTGGCTATAGGTCTGGGACCCAAAGGAAAGGTCAGGTTAGAGAGAGAAATTTAGGAATCACTGGTATATAGATGGTAACCATGGGTAGCAGTGAGTTTGCTAGGTAGAGAGTAAATAGTAAAAACCATAAGTGCAAGAGAACAAAAGAGAAAAAGATTTTAGGACTAAATGTTGAGAAGCTCCAAAACTTAACATCTGGGTGACAAACTTACGCTTATTAAGAAGGATTAACCAGGGAGGAGGGAAGAGAATCAGGAGGATATGGTGCCTCAGAAGCCAAAAGGAAAGAGTGTTTTTCAAAAAGGAGAGAGTGATTCAGTGTCAAGGCTGCTCAGAACTCAAGAAAGATGAGACCAAGAAATCTCCACCGGGTTGAGCAGCATGAAGGTCACCAGGGGCCTTTGCCACAGCCAGTTGTTACCAAAATGGTGAGATGCCACACAGTGTCCCTGCTGGCTGTCGCACAAGGACATGAGTGAGGCCAGCATCCCTACAGGAGGATCAGTCTCTATGTATCAGTCCTGCTGACAGGGTCTCACGAACATTCACTAACACGCCCCCTGTGCTACCCAGTAGTGTGTCCTGCCCCCTTTCTCCACCCTCTGCAGAGGTTAAGAAAAAAAGTATAGCTCCAAACCATGATAAAACCATTATTTAACATCATTTTGTGGGTATTTTGGAAAACAGGATTAACTACACATGCCATGATATTCAGTTACAAAATTAAACATCCTCTTAAAAAGTTTATTCACATTAATTTAAGTAATTTAAAAAATACCAAAACCCACATGCAGTGTTAAAACAAAAAACTTTCTGCTGATTAAAAAATACATATGTTCTTTTGAATTAGAGTAGTTTTTCTTTTTTGGCAGGGGGAGGGTGTAGGAGGTAGGGATAAAGAAATAATCCTCCCTTCTTATTTTCTTTTATTTAAATTTATTTTTTATTGAAGTATAGTTCATTTACAGTGTTGTGTTAGTTTCAGGTATGCAGCAAAGCGATTCAGTTATACATATATATCTATTCTTTGTCAGATTCTTTTCCATTATAGGTTATTACAAGGTATTACATACAGTTCCCTATGCTAATCAGTAGGACCTTGTTGATTATCTATTTTATATATATATAGTAGTGTGTATCTGTTAATCCCAAACTCCTAATTTATCCTTCCCCCCAACCCTCTTCCCCTTTGGTAACCATTTCTTATTTTTCTTAATTTCTGGTCCAGATTGCTCCTACAAATATTGTGACTACATACTTCTAGCTTATTCATTTATACAATAATCTTATTTTTTTTGTCTTTTGAACTGTCCCTCAAGCCCGGCCTTTTCTTTTCTCTCCCATTTCTGCCACTTCTTGCTTCTGTCTTTGCCCCCCTCCCAATTCATTTTGCATAAGTGCCTACCTGTCAGAATCCTATTCTTAAAATCCCATTTTAATCATTTCTCTGCCATCAGAGAAATGTAAAGTCTCTGAAACTTTACATCACATGAAATGTAAAGTTCTCCACTTAGAACACAATCTGTCCTCATCTGACTACCCCACCCCCACCCCAGGTACAAATTCTGCTCCGCTAAGGCTCATCAGAACCAGGCCTCACACTCCTATTTGCCTTTTCTCTGTACTTTGGGACCGACCTCCCCTTTGGCTGAAATGCCCTCTGCTCGTCCCTTCACATAACCAGATCTGACCCATCTTTCGAGGCCCTGTAGGAAAAATCGGCAGGTAGAAATTGCTTACCTTCTACAAGAAATTTGGTAGTAAAAAAATGAATTTTATGGAGATTTTACTATGCTCTTTACATGAATTATGTCATGGAGTACTCAGAATAGTCCCTTGAGATAGACAACATTTTGCATATGATGAAAGTAGGGATTAAGTTCATCCGTGGAAAAGCACTTAGCACAGTGTCTCCCCATGATAAGGATTCGGTAAATGCTGACTGTCATTATGCTTACTAGAGAGATTTAGTAATTCTTCCAGGTCACACAGCAGTAAGTGAAAGAGCTAGAACTCAAACTCCGGCTTCACAGCCCACTCTTACTTTGACAAGAGCAGCAATACCCTGCACTGCTGCTACCTTGCCAACCTTTCAACTGTTAGAGTCAACAGTGATTTCTGCTGCCTGAATTCCCTAGCAGTTGGAGTATCTGTACTAGGCTGGTTTGCACTTGATGGCTGTCTTACTTGGACTTTTACTTTTTCTTCAGTATATGTCTTATCTCAAGACATAAAGGTGTGTCTTATGTTTACTAGAGTAAAGACTAGTGGTGTGCGGACACATGTCTACCAATCAGCTCTCAAGGAGGGGAAGGGGCTGATTCATACTATTTGCTGATTTCAGTGGTATAAATACTGCTACAATGGTCAACTTAAAGATGCCAAAGTGAAGTTAACCAAGTCATAAAATTCTTGCAAGTTTAACAGTTGGCTCCTGCAAATTGGTGAAAGCTGGCTACGGCAAACCACTGGGACAAAGGATTAGATACTGTACTGTATTCTCTTGTTTTGCTTAGTGCCAAGCTTGGTGCTGAGCAAATAGGATGCATGACCGCATATTTGGAGCTTCTGGTTCAAGGCTGAAAATTGCATATAAACATTTACTCGGCCCACTTCCCAAAATCCCATTGAAATGATGATACACAAAAACTAATACTTCCATAATAGTGCTTAAACAAGAAAAGGTGCCAATAGTCAATTAGAAAATTTGACAAATTTATGAAAGACAAGAAAGCAGATGGATTCCTATTGATGGATAAGCCAAAGGAAACCACAAATTGAAACCAGCACCAGTGAGGCTGCTATGGAGGAACCATTCTTCCCAGGAGGACTCTAAGCTCAGCAGGTACGGATAGCTTAAGTAGACAGTGGAGCAAATAATCAGGGCAATTCATTTAAAGGCTAAGGAATACCTGAGTCAGTCTGCCCACTGCCTCTTGTACATATTGTGAGCATTTTGTCCCCAGCTACAGGTCTCAGAATTGCTTTTAAAACCAAGTACAATGTTTCTCTGGGAAGGACCCACCCCCCTCCCTGCCCCACCACTCCACAATGTGGATATTTGAGGCTGAAGAAATAAGAGCAGAGCCTCTGAGATCTCTGACCTTCAGAAAGACTCAGAGGGAAAAACTGGGTATAATAAATAAAAATGTGTTTTAATGGCCAAGCTGTAGAGGAAGGGGAAGGAAATCTCCAAGTGGCACAGATGAAGAGAAACATCAAAGGCAAGGCGCTAAGTACAAGCTGTACGGCCCGCCTCCCTTGCAGCTGGGGGTGACCATGTGATACAGATCCAGCCAACAAGATGTAAGCAGAAGTGGGCTAGGGATTTCAGGGAAAGTTTGGTTTTCCTGATCTGGGAACCATTCCTTCCTCCTTGTTGCTTTCTTCTCCCTTCTCCTACCTGAACTGTGGTCATGAGGCCAGGAGTGGAATAGCCAGCTTGCCACCATAAAACAAGCAGAAGGATAAAAGCTACTCTTTAAGGATGGAGGGGCAGGAAGATACAAGGAGCTTGAGGAAAAGGACATGGATGACAGTATTGCTTCCCTGCTCTGCCTATTTCCAACCTTCTTATTATGTTAGAAAAATAAAGCCCTTCCGATTTAGGCCACTATAGTAAAGTTTGGTTGCATCCCTAAATGGTGTCTTGTATGTCTGGGATTTTGGATGGGAGAAAAACACCTTTGAGACATGGAAACCCCAGGCCTGAGCTATGTGTGTGCATGGGAGCTGAATTTATACTACTTGCTTGACTCAGGAATCCCAAATTGAGAAATTAAATTTAAAAATCAAGCCAGGACATCTGAAACCTCTAGAGCCCTAGCAGTAAAAATGTACATTCAGGGCTCCCCTGGTGGCGCAGTGGTTGAGAGTCCGCCTGCCGATGCAGGGGACACGGGTTCGCGCCCCGGTCCAGGAGGATCCCACATGCCGCGGAGTGGCTGGGCCCGTGAGCCATGGCTGCTGAGCCTGCACGTCCGGAGCCTGTGTTCCGCAACAGGAGAGGCCACAGCAGTGAGAGGCCCGCGTACCAAAAAAAAAAAAAAAAAATGTACATTCACTCCATGGGAACACTTTCACATCTCCTGGGAAGGAAAAAAAATTAGATATAAGTTCATAGTCAAAAATTACAAGGTCTGTGAAAGAATAAACTACCATGGGTGAGTCAACAAATATAGCAAAGGGAAGAATCAGCATTCAGAGAACTGCATCTAAAAGAACACTCTGAAAGAGACTATGAAATGCCTACAACATGACCAAAGATGTAAACAAAGGCACAGGAACCATAATGAGAAAAAGAAGACAACATGAAAACAGAATAAACAACTCTGAAAAAGAACCAAATTGAGTCTCTATAAATGAAAAACATAGTCACTACAATTAAAAACTCAATGAAAAGGGTAATGAATATTTGAGACAAAAATGAAGAAAGAATCCATAAACCAGAAGATAGATTTGAGGAAATTTCTCAGAATGTGGGACAGAAAAACTATGAAATTGTGGCTAAGAGCCATGAGAAGTTTCAATATATATCAAGTAGACATTCCAGACAGAACAAAGAATAGAGAAAGGGGGGAAGAGATAATATTTAAGAAAATAACACCTGAGAATTTTCTGGAAATAAACTAAAACATAAATGAGTCTTCAGATTTCAGAAGCATGCAAACATCCCAGCAGTATAATTTTTAAAATTCACCATTTGATATACAATACTATGGTGAAACTTCAGAATGTCAATGATGAGGAGAAAAATCTTAAAAGCAACCAAAGCAGATATCCTAAAAACAAAAAGCAAAAAAAAGTCCAATTAGACCTTCATCAAAGTTGTCATCAGTCATCATAGATGTCTATGGGAAATAAATGGCATCTTTATGCTGCTAAGAGAAATAATCCTCATCCTAGAATTCTATACCCAGGTAAATTTTTATTTCATACTGAGAGTGAAACAGACATTTCAAACCAACAAATATTGGGAGTTTACCACTCAATGACTCTTCCTAAAAGATCTACTGTGGGGTTTACTTCAGTAAGCTAAACAGCTGAATCCAGAAGGAAGAAGTGGAGAGCAAAACATAAGGATGAATAAAGAATTTGGTAAACACATTGTCAAAATTAAGTAATGATTTACTGTAAATAATAAAACTGAGGGCTAATGTGAGAGGACTTTAAAAATAAGGTAATACTAAGATACCAGTCAACAATTACACAAGACATTGTAAAGGAAGATCTGAGTTAAATGGTCATAAAGCCCTGTATGCGTTTGAAGAAGAACAGACATATTGATTAACTTTATATTCGGTTAAGAATTTCTAAGAATAAACAGTAAAGAAATAGAAATACAACTTTTAAACCGAAGAGGACAAAGAAGGAAATTAAAAGAAAAAGAGAACTTGAGATATTGACAGTCCAATAAAAGGCAAGAAATGAAGGGGATGGGGAAAAAACCAGAAATACAAAATCTAAATGAATTCTAAATAGAAAATCTAAAAACATAATGCTGAGTGATACATACATTATATGAATATAAATGTATATTTCAAAACGTGAATCAATATAAAATATTGCTAACGGACAGATACATGAAGAAAAAATATAAAAACAAGGCTAGGAAAGACAGTCACCAATTTCAGAATAGTGGCTACCTTTGGAGGGGAAGGGAGGAAACTGGGACTGAAAACAGGTACAAAGGCTTAAATGTATGTTCACATTTTTTCCCTATACTGTAAAGGAAGGAAGGAAGGAGGGAGGGAGGGAGTGGGGAGGAGAAATGATGAGCCATTCAATCCAAGGGTAATTCTACACAAATAAGCAACACATGAAAACTGACCCCTTAACAAATTAAAAAGTAGAGAGAACAGATATAGCATGAATAAATAGGAAATAAAACCTATGGAGGTTGATTGGATAACAGCTTGTCTTCGGTTACTGGTATTGGCATTAGTGTTCTATCTGCAAAGGTTTCTGGGAGAGAAAATGAATTTAATTTGCAGAAGAAAAGATTGATATTAGAGTGAAGGAAGGATTATGTGACTCTAAGACTGTTTCAACCTTTAATAGATGTTACTATATCCATTTTAGAAGAGTCTTGTTTCCTTAAAATATGTACAAGTAAGAATGATTTGACTTATAAAAATCTCTTTCTGAAGGCAAAATGTTACACTAGATAACTGTTCTCCAACGTGTTGATGTGCAAACATCTGGGTAGAAGAACTGCAAATGGTAAAAGACCTCCTTGGGATGCTTCCAATTCATAAAGTCTCAAACTAAGGAAGTTCCTGCACGCACTGCTGTTTGCCACAGTTCTGAAGAGGAGAAGAGAGGGACAGGGAAAGGGAAGGGGAAGGGGAGGAGGAGGTGGGGAGATCAGAGGTAAAACTGCATAAACGACTCACCTACTTTTACCTACTTGTTCCCTGTTTCTCACTCAGGCAAAGGGTTAGATGCAAAGAGAACTGGAATAAACTCCAAATGTGATCACTTTCTACATTTCCTCTTCCTACAATTTTCCAGACAGCTGGCCTCCCTTACCTCAGCCAGGGTAGAGAGAAAGTGGGGTCTAATTACATCTCTTCCAATTCAAGCTGGCCATGGGGACAGTATCAGTGGGAACATTTGTTCATGGGTTTTATTGTTAAGTTTACGGCAGCTAAAAATACAGGCCCTGCCCTTTTGTCTTTTCTCACAGTGATGGCAGAGACTTTCACGCAGACACCAAGACCACCAGACATGACATCCTGGGTCAGTCCTGCAGACCCTTCACTGCTTCTTGGAGGGTCCCATGAATACTTTGAGGACTACCAGGTGATATAATCTCTGCCACCCCAGCCAGAAGGATGACTCTGAAATGTCATTTCCCCAACAATTCTCCTTTTTTCATTGAGGTATAATTCATATATTATGAAATGCACATATTTTAAATTAATTCTATTAATTTTGATAAAATTATGCTCCCATCCCAGTCAAGGTACAGCATAAAATCACTTTTAAAGGAAAATTATTTTCTGGATGAAGCCAATAGCAATGAAACACAATAGCTTCTATTTCCAAATCTTACATTTGCAATTTTAGAAATAGTACCCAAGACTTGAAGATAATGAGATACAGTGTAGTAAATAGTACATTTTACCCCATCTATAAGAATAGTTCGATTTTCCATAGTCATTTAGATAAGAAACAGAAAATGCTATAAATCACTGTAAAGTGATTTGTACTTTAAAGTACAAATCTTAACATTCGTATGCTGAAAAATGATTAATCATACTTTATATTCTTTTCATATTTTATTATACTGCCACATGAATAAGCTGATATACCTTATCTTATTTCCTATCGGGAACAATCTGGATTAACAGTCTAGGCTGAATTCCATGCTAGAAACGAGGATACAGAGCTACAAATGGTTCTCTTTAAGTCAAAGGAAAATAAGAACAAGTACAGGAACACCTTACTCTGGAGTTTCTTTATTTGGGTTTAAACCTCTCTTCACAGGCTTTTTTCAAGTCTTTGAAGCATTATTAAATGATCCTACTATTGATTTTCCGTGCCTCAGTCCTGGTGAAAATGGAGTGACTTGGACCACTAATGACTGAAGTCCACTCATCGTCTGAAGGACAATCACAAAGGCTGGAGCTCATTCCTGCAAGCATCCTCATAACTTAGATTTCAACGCCTGGAAATAGGACAGGTGGGAAATAGGACACAGAGTTCAACTCATCTCTCTTACTTAAATATAGCACTGCTGCTATTTCTGTTACTTATCTTGGGAAATTTTATAAGTATTGGTATATTTTGCTATTCAGCATGAAGCTGTGTGCCTCATTTCTACCTTTGAGATCCAAATTTCCAAGTAATCACTTTTAGGAAAGCATTCCTCTATTTCCAGCTTCATTCTCCATGGGCCATTTATTTGTGATGCTGAGCCACTGAGTAACTTGAACTTACAGTAAGAATTTGTGATGCCAGTTTCCATCGTAAAAAGAAAAGCTTTTCAGACAAACCAATTTTTTTAAAAATGCGTAAAAGAAATGAACAGGCATTTTCACATAAGAGAGGGGAAAATGAATGGTCTCATAAGTTCAACCTCATAAATAATCAGGAAAATGCAAATTAAAACCACAGTGAGACACCATTTCAACACCCCTTCAGAGCAGCAAAACTCTGTAGTCTGACAATACCAAGTGTTGATGAGGATGTAAAACTACATCCTAAGCACATTATACTTATATTATGTGGATGTTATATGACTGTATGTCATGTGACTGTATGTTAGATGATATTAAATAAGTGTTACTTTTCTTAGGTATGGTAATCCTGAAGTATTTGGGAGTGAAATGTCAAGATGTCTACAACTGTAAAATGGTTCAGCATAAAGGATGAGCAGAGAGAAAGCAAGTAGGGGGCAGGCTCTGGGGGCAGAGTCTGTAGGTCTGAATTGTGTCTTGCCCACTTATTGATTGTAGTTTGGGTAATTAATCTCTCTCTACCTCAGCTTAATTATCTGTGAAATGGAAGTAATGGTGGTATATATTCAATAGAGATGTTGTGAGCATTAAATGAGGTAATTCACGTAAAATACTTACAGTGGTCACTGCTTTGTCATAAGCCTTCAATAAATGTTATTACCTCTGTTGGCTCCATTTTGTAGTTGATGTAAGTTGAGACTCAGAAAGGTGATATAACTTGTTCAGTCACATAACTGGCTATTGGTGGTTGGAGCTAAAAGAGCTGGAGCTGTCAGGAAGCTCTCCTACTAGTAAACAGCAACACACACACAGCAGCCCTGTTTACAAGAGCAAATATTTGAGACAATCCAAGTGCCCATCTACTGTAGAATGGATTGCTAAATTATGTTACATTTCCCTACTAGAACCCTATACAGCCAGGGAAAGGAATAAGACAAATTAACATGAAGAGTATCAAAAAATTGAAATAAGTTAAAAGCTTTTATTTTATCCTTAAAGATTTTAGCTGCTCTAGCAACAAAAGGACTGATTAACTCACTAAAACTACCATGAAGGGCTTCCCTGGTGGTGCAGTGGTTGAGAGTTCGCCTGCCGATGCAGGGGACACGGGTTCGTGCCCTGGTCCTGGAAGATCCCACATGCCGCGGAGCAGCTAGGCCCGTGAGCCATGGCCACTGAGCCTGTGCGTCCAGAGCCTGTGCTCCACAACGGGAGAGGCCACAACAGTGAGAGGCCCACGTACCGCAAAAAAAAAAAAAAAAAAAAACCTACCATGAAGAAAATAAATCAAAAAATGCTTTTGTTTAGAAACACTTTGTACTTCATCACAGCATTTTCTGTAAGAGCAAGAAATTGTTATCTAAATGTTTAACAGGTGAGTAGTTATATAAACCAAAGAATTACTCCTAAAATGAACTAATTAGCAGCCATTAAAGTTGTGTCTTTAAATGAATATTTAGTGATATGGTGGAATGCTCACTATATAATGTTGAATTAAAAAATATAGAATTGCAAAGGGCAGACAGCAAGAAGAACTACAATCCTGCAGCCTGTGAAACAAAAAACACAATCACAGAAAGACAGACAAGATGAAAAGGCAGAGGGCTATGTACCAGATGAAGGAACAAGATAAAACACCAGAAAAACAACTAAATAAAGTGGAGATAGAAAACCTTCCAGAAAAAGAATTCAGAAGAATGACAGTGAAGATGATCCAGGACCTCAGAAAAAGAATGGAAGCAAAGATCGAGAAGATGCAAGAAATGTTTAACAAAGACTTAGAAGAATTAAAGAACAAACACCTAGAAGAAATAAATAACAAACAGAGGTGAACAATACAATAACTGAAATGAAAAATACACTAGAAGGAATCAATAGCAGAATAATTGAGGCAGAAAAACGGATAAGTGACCTGGAAGACAGAATGGTGGAATTCACTGCCGTGGAACAGAATAAAGAAAAAAGAATGACAATAAATGAAGACAGCATAAGAGACCTCTGGGACAACATTAAATGCAACAACATTCACATTATAGGGGTCCCAGAAGGAGAAGAGAGAGAGAAAGGACCCGAGAAAATAATTGAAGAAATTATAGTCGAAAACTTCCCTAACATGGGAAACAAAATAGCCACCCAAGTCCAGGAAGCACAGAGAGTCCCAGGCAGGATAAACCCAAGGAGAAACATGCCGAGACACATAGTAATCAAATTGACAAAAATTAAAGGCAAAGAAAAATTAATGAAAGCAACAAGGGAAAAACAACAAATAACATACAAGGGAACTCCCATAACGTTAACAGCTGATTTCTCAGCAGAAACTCTACCAGCCAGAAGGGAGTGGCACGATATATTTAAAGTGATGAAAGGGAAGAACCTACAGCCAAGATTACTCTACCTGGCAAGAATCTCATTCAGATTCGATGGAGAAATCAAAAGCTTTACAGACAAGCAAAAGCTAAGAGAATTCAGCACCACCAAACCAGCTCTACAACAAATGCTAAAGTAACTTCTCTAAGTGGGAAACACAAGAGAAGAAAAGGACCTACAAAAACAAACCCAAAACAATTAAGAAAATGGTAATAGGAACATACATATCGATAATTACCTTAAATGTGAATGGATTAAATGCTCCAACCAAAAGACGCAGGTTCGCTGAATGGATACAAAAACAAGACCCATCTATATGCTGTCTACAAGAGACCCACTTCAGACCTAGAGACACATACAGACTGAAAGTGAGGGGATGGAAAAAGATATTACATGCAAATGGAAATCAAAAGAAAGCTGGAGTAGCAATACTCATATCAGATAAAATAGACTTTAAAATAAAGAATGTTACAAGAGACAAGGAAGGACATTACATAATGCTCAAGGGATCAATCCAAGAAGAAGATATAACAATTATAAATACTATATGCACCCAACATAGGAGCACCTCAATACATAAGGCAACTGCTAACAGCTATCAAAGAGGAAATCAACAGTAACACAATAATAGTGGGGGACTTTAACACCTCACTTACACCAATGGACAGATCATCCAAACAGAAAATTAATAAGGAAACACAAGCTTTAAATGACACAACAGACCAGATAGATTTAATTGATATTTATAGGACATCCCATCCAAAAACAGCAGATTACACTTTCTTCTCAACTGCACATGAAACATTCTCCAGGATAGATCACATCTTGGGTCACAAATCAAGCCTCAGTAAATTTAAGAAAACTGAAATCATATCAGGCATCTTTTCTTTTCTGACCACAACGCTATGGGATTAGAAATCAATTAAAGGGAAAAAAACGTAAAAAACACAAACACATGGAGGCTAAACAATACGTTACTAAATAACCAAGAGATCACTGAAGAAATCAAAGAGGAACTCAAAAAACACCTAGAGACAAATGACAATGAAAACAGGATGATCCCAAACCTATGGGATACAGCAAAAGCAGTTCTAAGAGGGAATTTTATAGCAATACAAGCCTACCTCAAGAAAAAAAAAAAAAAATCTCAAATAAACAATCTAACGTACACCTAAAGGAACTGGAGAAAGAAGAACAAACAAACCCAAAGTTAGGAGAATCAAAGAAATCATAAAGATCAGAGCAGAAATAAATGAAATAGAAACAAAGAAAACAATAGCAATGATCAATAAAACTAATTGCTGGGTCTTTGAGAAGATAAACAAAATTGATAAACCAGACTCATCAAGAAAAAGAGGGAGAGGACTCAAATCAATAAAATTAGAAATGAAAAAGGAGATGTTACAACAGACAACGCAGAAATACAAAGCATCATAAGAGACTACTACAAGCAACTCTATGCCAATAAAATGGACAAACTGGAAGAAATGGACAAACTCTTAGACAGGTATAACCTTCCAAGACTGAACGAGGAAGAAATAGAAAATATAAACAGATCAATCAAAAGTAATGAAATTGAAACTGTGATTTAAAATCTTCCAGCAAACAAAAGTCCAGGACCAGATGGCTTCACAGGTGAATTCTGTCAAACATTTAGAGAAGTACTAACACCCATCCTTCTCAAACTCTTCCAAAATATTGCAGAGGAAGGAACACTCGCAAACTCATTCTATGAGGCCACCATCACCCTGATACAAACCAGACAAAGATACTACAAAAAAAGGAAATTACAGACCAATATCACTGCTGAATATAGATGCAAAAATCCTCAGCCAAATAATAGCAAACAGAATCCAATAACACATTAAAAGGATCGTACACCGTGATCAAGTGGGATTTATCTCAGGGATGCAAGGATTCTTCAATATACGCAAATCAATCAATGTGATACACCATATTCACAAATTGAGGAATAAAAACCATATGATCATCTCAATAGATGCAGAAAAAGCTTTTGACAAAATTCAACACCCACTTATGATAAATACTCTCCAGAAAGTGGGCATAGAGGAAACCTACCTCAACATAATAAAGGCCATATACGACAAACCCAGAGCAACATCATTCTCAATGGTGAAAAACTGAAAGCATTTCCTCTAAGATCAGGAACAAGACAAGGATGTCCACTCTCACCACTGTTGTTCAACATAGTTTTGGAAGTCCTAGCCATGGCAATCAGAGTAGAAAAAGAAATAAAAGGAATATGAATTGGAGAAGAAGTAAAACTGTCACTGTTTGCAGATGACATGATACTATACATAGAGAATCCTAAAGATGCCACCAGAAGAACTACTAGAGCTAATCAATGAATTCGGTAAAGTTGCAGGATACAAAATTAATGCACAGAAATCTCTTGCATTCCTATACACTAATGATGAAAAATCTGAAAGAGAAATTAAGGAAACACTCCCATTTACCACTGCAACAAAAAGAATAAAATACCTAGGAATAAACCTAAGTAGGGAGACAAAAGACCTGTATGCAGAAGACTATAAGACACTGATGAAAGAAATTAAAGATAATACAAACAGATGGAGAGATATACCATGTTCCTGGATTAGAAGAATCAATATTGTGAAAATGACTATACTACCCAAAGCAATCTACAGATTCAATGCAATCCCTATCAAATTACCAATGGCATTTTTTATGGAACTAGAACAAAAAAAACCTTAAAACTTGTATGGAGACAAAAAAGACCACAAATAGTCAAAGCAGTCTTGAGGGAAAAAAACGGAGCTGGAGGTATCAGACTCCCTGACTTCAGACTATACTACAAGCTACAGTAATCAAGACAATGTGGTACTGGCACAAAAATAGAAATACAGAAAAATGGAACAGGATAGAAAGCCCAGAGATAAACTCATGCACCTATGGTCAACTAATCTATGACAAAAGAGGCAAGGATATACAATGGAGAAAAGACAACCTCTTCAATAAGTGGTGCTGGGAAAACTGGACAGCTACATGTAAAAGAATGAAATCAGAACACTCCCTAACACCATACACAAAAAGAAACTCAAAATGGATTAGAGACCTAAACGTAAGGCCAGACACTATAAAACTCTTAGAGGAAAACATAGGAAGAACACTCTTTGACATAAATCACAGCAAGATCTTTTTTGACACTTCCTAGAGTAATGAAAATAAAAACAAAAATAAACAAATGGGACCTGATGAAACTTAAAACCTTTTGCAAAGCAAAGGAAACTACAAACAAGACGAAAAGACAACCCTCAGAATGGGATAAAATATTTGCAAATGAATCAACAGACAAAGGATTAATCTCCAAAATATATAAACAGCTCATGCACCTCAATATTAAAAAAACAAACAACCCAAGCAAGAAATGGGCAGAAGACCTAAATAGACATTTCTCCAAAGAAGACATACAAATGGCCAAGAAGCACATGAAAAGCTGCTCAACATCTCTAATTATTACAGAAATGCAAATCAAAGCTACAATGAGGTATCACCTCACACCAGTTAGAATGGGCATCATCAGAAAATCTACAAACAACAAATGCTGGAGACTGTGTGGAGAAAAGGGAACCCTCTTGCACTGTTGGTGGGAATGTAAATTGATACAGCCACTATGGAGAACTGTATGGAGGTTCCTTAAAAAACTAAAAATAGAATTACCATATGACCCAGCAGTCCCACTACTGGGCAT